TCTTTCTCGTCTTAGTTCCCAGTAAATAACTTTACTACCAGAGGTGTGTGAGAAGGCAGATTCGGTGACCATACAAATTATCCATGTGCATACTTACGTATGAGTTTTCAGAGCTTGAGCAGGCATACCAAATTTCCTTGTATCAGGTGATAAAATAAAAACCGGATCATATCAAACATCTAAAAGAAAGGGAAAATCATGGGTAGCAGACCCCATAAAAGGAGAAATGCTTCGGCTGCATGCAGAATAAAAATGTGGTTGATGTCTCATGTGTTTCTATAATTCCACAGTTACATAAACCCATGCAACAAACATAGAGTAGCATCAACTTGAGCGAAACTTTGCAGATAAACATGCAGAGGCGCTAAAGGATCATATAGCTACTGAACATTGATGGTCACACTTTTCCTAATAAACCTGTCTTAAGTTTCTTCTAAGCAGGCAAGTGGAGCTAGGAGGGTGGCAGCGGCAAACTGTAGAACGATGAGGATGACAGGTTCAGGCCACTATAGAGCCAAGAATGCGTGTCCAAGCCGAGCATGGCGGACACTGATTGTAGGAGTGTAACCTTCCTAGAACTAGGCAGCAGCCATAAATATTAATCTATGTATACTATACCTTATAACATACAAGCATTATCTATCCCTGCTGCATATGGTGATGAAGTGATGTGAGCTCCATTATCACTGTTAAATCACTAGGAAGACTCAGAAGATAAATTGTAGATAGACACTGACTTCACAAAGACTATTAACCCAAGCAACTCTACAAGTCATTAATAACGAACACAAGCTGAGACAATTAAATCCAACAAATTCCACTTCCTGGACAACCGTACATAAAAGTAGAACAACCTACATACTACAGAGGTGCAATCTCAGCGTCAACCACATCACATGCTTCAGCATATGGAGCAGACTAAACCAACTAGACATTTTTCTTCATTTCAGCAACCCATGTATAACTCGAGGTACCTGCAGAACAATCAGTGTCATGTGAGTAACCCAATTGGCACTACTACTTCCCAGAAGAACTCAAATTTCTGCATGATTTCAACAGTACATTTTAACTTTTCCATTGTGCAAATTATATAATTTAAAAGAATCTAAAGCTGAATCATTGTGCTAATCAAAATTATACTATTAAAAGAACAATAATACAAACAGAGAACAACAATAGAAGAACAATATTCTGTAATGGTTGACAGCAATGTCCTCATGTTTTTTGCTACATGAGTACATATGATCGCAGTAGGTCATAAAAGATCAGTGACTGAATGCATCAAAGAGAGGTTAAGACTAGACTTCTTAGATTGATCTAGATCAACAACATATTATTTAGAAATGTGGGAACTAGACAGTTTAGAATTTATTCACATTAACGCATTACAACCTACAACAATAAATCATGCATCATCTTCTAAACTAAGTATCCAAGACAAAAAGATATGCTGCCTTAAAGACATACAAATAACATGCACAAAAATTTACCTCACTCATTCAAACCAAGATAGCACATTACTATATCACAAGTGTTCAAAGTTCCAGTTCCACCCATTTCCACCCAACTCCCCTGCCTAAAACCAAAAGAAGCAACAAAAAAATGATGAAAATTCAGAAAGAAGTTGAATCAATGGGAAAGCAATATGTGCAAACCGCTATATATTTATGTAAGAAGAGGGAAAATGACTCCACATCTATTGCCAAGTGCAAAACAAGAATGATAAAACGGTTCAGATGCTCAAGAAAAATGCATTTATCTAGAACTCCATTGTCAAGAAAGCCAGTACCATTTATGACCAGTGTGCAAAAATGAAATATGCACGTTTAGCATCACATAGTACCATTCAAATTATATGAACCGGTAATACTTTCCACTAACAAATTAAGTATGTGCTGTTATGAATTGATGAAGACAAAGATTATCTTGCACATACATTTATTGGATAGAACAACATAACGATCTTTTAAGCTTTCAAATGTGCCAGTGGGTTAACTATTTTACATAGGAGATTGTTTCCTCATATTTTTCTTAGTGTAGTTATAGCCAGTTTCCAATTTTTATAAACCTCCTGATGGAAAGATCATTAAATGGACAGAGTCATAGTTAGCATTTAGAAGTGGCAGGGCATCAAAGCAATAGATATCCGAAATCCATCTTTCATGTAGCCCAGTAATAATAAGTTACATCACGATACATCACAGGCACAACAAAGAAACAAACAGCTCAATGTATCCTGATCGATCCTTAATCATATTAACAATGTTGCAGCAATCACATACCAAAAGGAACTGTAATGAATCGCCACAAAACAAACTAATGGATTTTTTTGGTTGTGCAATGTAGATAGGGAGGGATTACCTGCAGTGTAGAAATTATGGTAGGGATAAAACATGTCGATACACATGGCATTTCTTTTAATGATATGTTTGATCTGCATTGAGTCAAGTTCGATCATGAAGTTGCCAATCCCCGTAGACAGAACAATCGCATTTGTGTCCTCATCATACCCCACGATAAATACCAAAGGCTTTGTGCTTGGAAGCAACCCCTCCAAAGGAATGGTTTTCTGCAGCAACACCCATCCGACAACACCGTCACAGTTAAGTTTCCTTTCCCATAATTGGACAGTCAGTCCCGACAAAGCAGCGAGGCCTAGTCCACCATCCTCCATCCGTAAGAGCTGAAAAGACCAGCCACTGATAGCGTTCTTGTCTGCCGGCTTCTCAATCACAGCAAGACTCTGTATTTCAGTATCAAACACAAGGGCATCACCTCCACAAATCGCCCAGCAAAGCACATTTCCGACAAGGATGCTGTACCTTGTCCAATGAATTTTATTTTCTATCGCCATTGAGGAAATATCTCCCCAAGCACGAGATGTGGAGTCATAGAGAGAAGCAAATGCCTGCTCGTATCTGTTGCAGATCAAGACCAATTTGAACGGCCCCCTGATGCAATCTCCGTGCACGTGCCCATCTTCGGCATTAGCACAAAGCACCGCGGCATGCCAGGCATAGAAACTACTCGTTGTAACGTCGTGAAGCCCCGGTGGAAAAGGCACACGATGTTGCTGGCCGGTGAGAGGATCCCACACGATGGCCTCACGCCGACCCCCGTTGACCAGGACGGCAAGGCCGTTGCGGCAGCCCATGAAACGCCACTTCCCCATGGAGCTTTATCTCTTTGGCACCGAGAGACGATTGGCATGGACGCGGTCAGGCGCTTACAGGATGGGATTGAAGTCGCAGACTACGGTATAACTTTGGTTGAAGAAGCCGATTAGCGGGGGTTTCCCGTGGTGTTTGCGGAATCGTTGGACGAATTGGGGGTCAGAGAGGATGCTGCGCCAGCGCTTGCATACGGCAGACGCACGAGGGAGGGAGGATGGCTGAGGAGGAAGGCGCATGGGGATCTCCTGGAGAAGGTCCTCGTCTTCTAGCGGGGGTGCCGGCGCCGGCGAGAAACGGCGGCGGCTCATACTTCAGTCTAGGGTTCCTGAAAGCCAAGATCGGAAGAGAATTGTCAATCAAGACTGTTAAAACCAAATCAAAATTGGGAAAGCAGGAGGTAGGAGAGGAGTAATAGAAACCAGGGGCACACACCGTTTCTTCTAGCGCCGCCGTTTTTTGCCTCGACCCTCCAGGAGCTAGGGTTAGGGTAAGGGCAAAGGACGCTGGGGCAGGGAGAGGCGCAGTCCCCGGAGGGAGAGGTGCGGCTGCCGGAGGGATAGACGCGTCGGACAGCAGGAGGAGCGCGGTGCCGGCCGCGGGAGGGACGGTGGCGGCTGGCCGTCGGCGCTGGGACAGACGCACGATCTGGGAGAGAGATTCCGTGAGGAGTTTTCTCCACTCTCTGATGTGGAATGCACGGTCTGGGAGAGAGACGCACGTTCTCTACAGAATATAGAGAAAACACTGTTTTTTTTTTACAAAAGACAATTTTATAAGATGGCTCCGCGATGACCTTGGAGGCACAGTGGCACATGGCACGGAGATGCGACGTGGCGGCGCACGGGACTGCGGGCCGCTGCTGCGGCAGCGAGTGGTGGCTCGTGCCTGAGCGCAGTGGAGGCGTACACGGCGCCGAGACGACACACAACGTGGCAGGACTCTTGTCGGCAGGCCATGTGGCGACACCGTGGCTTAGCGGGTGACTGTTGGGAAATAAACCATGGCGGGCATGTGTGTGCGCCTGCTGGGGTGTCGGCGCTGGTTGGGGCTGCGCCGTGTCCGTGGCCGTGCATGCGTGTGTGTATGTGCTTGGGCATAGTCCGACTACTGCATGGGCATAGTTAGCATCTCGTCATTTTATCTAGGACGTGTGCAGATAGTGTCCGGGTGTGTGTGTGTCAGCAAGCCTGTTTGCGCGTGAGTGTGTTAGTTGTCGAACTGCGGGGGTGTGTGACCGCATCAGGCACTGGGCTTGGTCGCGTCGGGGGCGTGAACATGGAGTGTGGGGCGTGGGCAGTGGGCCAGTGGGTGCGTCAGGAGCGCGGCGTGGGGCGTCGGTGCGCCCACGCATAAAAGACGCCTCCCTCCCCTGTAAGTTGACTGTGTGAAGTCGAGTTCGTGCTTGGGAAAAAGATTGTCGTTGTCGTGGCAGGCCTATGTGCGCGGGAAAAAACTACAATGTCGATGTTCTTTCTTCTTCCTTCTATCGCTCAAGCGTAGCAAGCGGAGAGAGTGAGAGCTGTGCAGAGGGAGCTGGGCTCCGGCGTTAAGAGCAAGCTAGGGCTAGGCGCCAACAATTGGCATCAAAACTACCAGGTTCGGAGGGCCGTGGCATCCGCGACGCGCGGGCCGGACATGGATGCCTCGGCTGCGGCACGCGGCAAGTCCGCGACGGAGCAGTGTGATGTCGTGCGCGCGACGAGCACGGCGATCGAGGAGCGCGAGGAGGTCCCAGATGGCCTGCATGGTGGCGCAGAGGCCGCGACGGCTCGGCGCGACGACCGTGGAGGCACCATGGCGCGTGGTATGGAGACGCGACACAGCGACGCGCAGGACTGCGGGCTGCTACTGCGAGAGGTGGCTTGTGCCTGAGGTGCAGCGGAGGCGTACATGGCGCTGACACGACGATGACATGGCAGGGCTCCTGTCGGCAGGCCATGTGGCGATGTGGTGACTTAAGGGGGTGACTGTTGGGAAATAATCCATGGCGGGCATGTCCAGTTCGTGTGTGCGCGCGCTGGGCGTGTCTACGCTGGTCGGGGCCGCGCCGGGTCCGTGGCCGTGCGTCCGTGTCTGTGTCTGGGCATAGTGCGACTACTGTATTGACATAGTCTGACTAGTGTCTGGCCATTATCTGGGGCGTGTCCAGATAGTGTCCCGGTGTGTGTGGGTGTGTGTGTCAGCAAACGTGTGCGCGCGTGCGTGTGCTAGTTGGCGAACTGTGGGGGTGTATGACCGCGTCGGGCAATGGACCCGGTCGCGCCCGAGCGTTTGCGTGTGCGTCGGGGGCGCGAACGTAGAGTGCGGGACGTGGGCAGTGGGCGAGTGGGCGCGTCGGGAGTGAGGTGTGGGGCATTGGTGCGGGGACGCATAAAAGACCCCTCCCTCCCCTGGATGTTGGGTGTGTGGTTTCGAGTTTGTGATCGGGAAAAAGATTGCTGTTGCCGCGGCGGGCGTATGTGCGCCAGAAAACATCACCATGTCCCTGTTCTTTCTTCTTCCTTCTGTCGCTCGAGCATAGCAGGCGGAGACAGAGATGTGCAAACGGAGCTGGGCTCGGGCACTATGAGCAAGCTAGGGCTAGGCGCCAACATATTTGATAGATAAGATCATGCCGGATATGGCAGATCTAGAGGTTTTTTTTGTAGGGAAACCTAAATTAACATGTATTTTCTCTTGGTGTGAGCATAGAGTGCCGCCACACAATTTTTCAACAGTTCATCAAACATCGACGATTATTTCCAGAAAGATGCACTCTCCCCATTTCCAATTTCCACCTTTGTTGTGGCTGCAAAAAAACTGTTGTTCACTAAAGATGGATATCCTCAGGGCGGGGCTGGGTTTGAGCCGAGCTTTGCAACATGACCTCAAAATCCCATGCCCAAGCCCAGCCCATCCTAAAACGCATGAACGTTGCCCTTTTTATTAAAATAATGATTTCAGGATATTTAAAATATATATTATACCTATATTTCCAATAAAATAATGATTTATGTCATGTTTCGCTGCTTGGGCTTTCGGGCCGGGCTTTGGGAGGAAAATCTGAGCCCAAGCCACCAGGGCCCGTACCGGGCAGGAGCTAATTAAGTCGAGCCAATGCTGATGCTGCTCTGCAGAGCAAGAACCTGCATCACCATCGCCGGGTCTGCCTCTCGCTGTTCGAGCGGAGTGGCGCCAGGGCCGTTGTCGGGCATCTACGACTAAGCTATACACAAGAAATAGACATGCTTGAATTTAATTACAGTTGCAAAGTTTGGTTTTCTACATTTTTCACTAATTATGCTGTAATTGACTCCCCCTATCGAGAGCCTTGCATTGTGCCACTCGATCTAGTGAGGAGTAATCCTTACTTGTCAGTTTTGCATAGTATTTCCAACAATGATAGCTTGTCTACCACGCAGGATTATCGGCTAGAACAAAACTCGCATTTCCGACACTTCCCATTCATAGCTTCTAATACTCGAACTCAACACGGACAACTGATATGTTCAAACGGCAACTGGACGAGAGATGTTGATCCTGCAATTAGAAACAAAAAGGTGGAAAGCCAAACTAGAGATGGATTGCCATGTCGCAGGAATACGACATATACATGCCCATGGATTTTTAGTTCGGCTCTCTAGTTCAGATGGTCTGGAAAGGTTTCGGTGAGGTGAGTTGATTTATAAAGTTTTAATATGGGTACTCGCTATCAAGCAAGTTCATGCATCTTTGCATCCTGTACAGGACTAATATATTGGCACATGAACATGGGTACCATCTTAATGACAGACTAGACAATTAGGCTGTTAACAGGAAGGTGCCGTGCCTCTGCCTCTTTTTTGCATCCGTTGATCAGAGTTTGTACGTGGATGGCGCTATGTTAGGATTAAGAACAATAAATGCTCCTACTTGGTTCATGTGACATTTGCGTGAAACATCCCAAGATAAATTTAACAAAAAACTACCACAATTCGTGAAACCATGCCTACAAACTACCACTTTACAAAATTATGCGAAAAACTACCATTTTTTCACTAATCTCTGACTAAAAACTACCATGTATGAAAAGTGCCCCATTCGACTTGTTTAAACTCGATTATGAAAAAATAAAAACGCAATCAGGTCCCTGCAAAAACACGGAAAAAAGCAATCAGGTTATGAGCAAGCTATGGGGCCAAGGCAACGTTTTCCACAATAGCATTCCCTTTAATGAACCCTGACTGCATGTTATGAGCAAGATGTACAGTGAATTGCGGCTGCAGCAGACGTAATGAAAAGATTAAACATAACAAGTCTTGTGTGAATGGTATTTGAATCAACAACTAGAGCGTGACAAGAGATAACGCAAACTATGGCCACGTGACATACTTTCAGGTTTCAGATGCAATAGGATAAATTTTCCTGGGCATCACACTTGGACTGGATTCGCGGGAACAAACACTCCAGAAAACTTGATTTGACTGATGGAAGACACTACGAAATACTGATTCAGTAGTGCGACATTCTGTGGGGACACCACAACAATATATCCTCATTTGCATACATTAGAAAAAATTAGTTGTGTAGTAAACCCTGAAGAAAACTCATAAGTTGCTGAGTTACCAACTGTTAGTCAAAAGGATGGTCTCCAATATCTGGTTTCTTAGGTCAAAGTACCCACCGTCCTTCCAGTATCGAGTAAGATCTGAGCAGCATCATTGACGGCCAATGGAATCAGTAGTCCTGCCATTGTCCAATCCATATCGAGTGCTCGCTTGTCCATCCCCAACCACCGTCAATTGTAACTAGCTCCTGCTTGCGCCATATGGTCATCGTATCTGCCACCGTCAAGTTCAAGATATGAATAGTACTGCCATGAAATGTGAACTACTGGTATATACATTGTAAAAACAAGCATTCTATGAAACCAAGAAATTTTTGAACAAATACTGAGTGCAACATACACTGCGCCAAAACAGCAGCATGTGGATATAAAACGTAGGAAAGATAACACAGAAAACATAGTTATTTTTTATGA